TTCGATGTTGAGACTACCCTAAGAAGCAAGTAAGGCAAGTATTTCTGGAATGCTTAATATTGAATACACCCCTTTTATTATTTTAAGCATTTTTTTGATAGACGGCCACTCATTCCAAAATATATTTTAGTAAAYGTCTAGTTAATAATTTTTGAAAATATTTTATACACCTTTTTCGTTTTTCAATTATAAGCTAACTTATGRTCAATATAAAGTTTACAAAATGAGCACTTATACACAAATACATACATATATGTAKGGTATATTTTATATCTTTACACGCTTGTATATATCACACGTCAATCAGCATCTCTTCAAATTCGTGCGAAAGTTGCGCCGTTAATTAGCATTCATTTTGACTTTGAAATAACAGCAAACGAAGGAGTGTAATAAAAGTTGTGTTGCTGATACATGCAGAAGACATGTGTGTGTAAGTGTGTGAGTACACCATCGCAGACYAGCAAATACTATACACACATACATATGTATATGTATATGTATATGTTTGTATATACAAGCAACGTCTAAGAAAGAAATTTAGCAGTGCCAACTTCCTGTTCGATCAATGGACAAAATTGAAAGCCAACAGCAACAACAACACAATAAAGAGTCAAAAGCCCAGCGAACAGATGACAACAAATACACACGTTCGTGGAAAATGCACAGAAATCAAACGGCGCTGAGGACTGCAACCTTAATTGGGAGCTTCACACACTTCTGCGCATAAACAAAGCTAAACTGAGCAATAAAGAAAGATAAATAAATAGAAAAAGCACAAAAATAAAGAAATGATTTACGAATTGACAAGTGTAGACGGTAGTTGGCCCAAAGACAACAAATAGTCCACAACAACCGTTGCCCAATGGTCAGCAGCAGTATATGTAAGCATGCGTATACATATGTATGTATGTAGTGGTAGTTAGAGAAGTTGTTGTAGTTGTAGTGGAAGCAGTGAAAACTGGTCCTCGCATGCTTATCCACAGTACCGTTAATGTACCTATTTATGCCAAGCCGGAGAGTGGTCAGCGCGGACAGGATTTATATATGCACACTCTGGTATATATACTATATATGTATATATATTTACTCATATAGATATATATACCATATGGTATATATGTATATCTATAAGTGCTCTCTTGTTTGCCGCGTAATTATTGGTAATTAAATAGGAAATCTGTCGATTCCGCACTCAGGCATTCATCTGGCTTGGTTGTATGTGTGTGTTTATAGGTGCATATGTGTTGACGTGTACTTGCATGAAAGTTCGACTGTGTTTGTATGTGCGCATATGCGCACTTGGCTAATTTCGCATGTACATATGTACCGTTATTTGAAAGTGAATTTCGCAATTTTCATTAGGGCAGCAGTAACGGTATTTTTCTTTAACTGTTCGAGCAAAAAAGTGTTCATGTGTTTATTTAAGCATTTTTCGTGCAATTTAATCAAGAAATGCGAGCAATAACACAAATTAATATATATTATTACATATGTRTATGTGTTGTAAAAATATTATTTTGCACCAATTTGTTTGTGCGCAGAAGTTTCGTGAAACAGTTTTCTTCAAATCCTCGTTTTTTTAGTTGAAACATGAAATGAAGTAAAATATGATTTGTGCCAAATCGAACTTGTAGCAACGACGAGTTGTATGAATTATTCATATGACTACATGAAAACTTAAAATACATATGGATATACATACATACACATGTATATATAATAGTTTACATATAAACATCTGCGCCTATATGAATGGCGGTTTTTAGCGCATGCATATGTTTGTTATATATATGCGTATATATTGTTGTATTTGYTCGATCCAAAAATGATATATGTACGCATGTATGTATGTAGAAATGAATATACCTCACATATCGTGTCTGTGCAGCATTTGCTTGATTTGACCAAATGCGTTCGAGTTTCGAGCTGGTCAGACTTGTTAGCTGCAAGCAAACCTAATTTTGTGTCAACTAATGTATGTATGTATGTACACCAACGTATATTGATGCGAATTCATACATATTCGTAAACATATATTAGTAATATATAATTTAATATATGTACATATGCATATCACAATATCATGTAGACACGTTTTGTGATTGAAACAGATGCATATGATAAAACTTTAATGATTTTACTAATATAATGTTGTATATGTTGCGTATAAATAGTATTCCACCAGGGTTAACTTGAAATTTCGAAATTTCCAGAACGGAAACGAGCGAACCACTGTTGCGCCACACGAACTGATRCARCATCGTCTCCGTAAACTTCACAAATTTCATTGGTGACTTCCGTAGCTCTTTCCTTTTTTACAGAATGTTTTTAAAATATAGCGAAGTTCTTCGTTATTGTCATTCATTTTTGAATGACTGTAACTTTTTTTCAACTTAACCGAATTTAATTCTTTTTCGGTTAAATGAGGTTAAATAGCACTGGAGATATACGACTGCCGACATCTATTGACAAAATACGAAGCAAATTTTTCGACTGCCCAATAATAAAAAAAAATATTAATTTTATATACTAAAGTAATTTTAATTAACAAACTTTTTGTTAGAAATTGCTTCTATGAGTAATGTAGTTAATACTAAAAAAGATAAAAACTGCCTTAGTATAAAAAAATTTGTGATTTGTTTAGAGAAGTATATAGCATATATATGAGCGAATGCCCAACTCAATTTAAACAGAAGGACAAGACATTTTATAATATTTCCCAAAATCCATTTAGTGGCGGAAATAAAAGCTTGTCGCTAAATTCAATTAAATTATTCGAAATTAATGTTTTAATAAAGGGGTTAGATCCACTTACCGAATAAAGTGTTTTTGTGACAGGTCTTTTAYTCAAGGAGTTATATAGAGTTAAAATTAAAAAAAACTCGTTTTTTYTWTATTATTTYCCYAATCTRCATATCTTTAAGAATACACACAGATAATTTYATATCGTTCCGRTGAATATTTTCGAAGTTACASGCAAATKTGAAAAGGCATTTGCAAAGGCAGAGTGCTTGAAAGTATAAGGSCGGGCGACAATCTGTTTATCTCAAAATRGCRTTTTCAAAGTCGGTGACCAACATTATTCGAAAACGGCTAAACCAATTARTTTCAAATTTTARTCCGAGCTTCTTAAATATATATATTTTTTTAATAATTAAACGAAAATTTCTTCTCACCGATAAATATTTTTATACACAATTTAAAAACGATTTTCTTAAAATCGTAATTTGGTAAWAACATTTTATTTTGCTTATTCTTCCAATTAATGAAAAGGTTTATCATTACTTTAACTCAATCTGTTTGTTTTTTAATTTCAGAGAATTCATTTTGAGATATGTAAAGGTCACCTCGAACGTCCAGGATAAGGATAGGAGCTAAGCACAGTTAAAAGATRCCATAATATGTGTATGTATGAAGTTCAAATTTTGTGAAAAAATKTTCATTTACATTCCAACAAAAAATCGATTTTTTAAACTCACAACCCGCTATAATCGTTTAAAGGCGCAATTTTTTACTAACCGCAGTGAGAAAGAGTCCGTTGCTGTATTTCTCCCAAACATTGTTTTAAAATAAGTATTTTTCCATAAATTCCACTATATTTATATTTTTTCGCCAACTTGTAAAGGAAATTTTAAATGCCACAAAAGACTTAAGCAACGAACTTGCATCAGGAAGTAGTTAAACACAAACTGGCTAATAAAATTTGGAAAACTTAAACGCAACACTATACTGCTGCGGAGGTATTAAAGTGTATAAAAGAATTTAATTAACGAAATTGGCGCTAAATTTTTTATTAGCGAATCCAAAATAATACTTTTATGTCGATGCAATGGAATAGGAAAAGACTTAAGCGACGAATCTGATAGGCTCAAAGCGTTGACATCTTATGCAATTTGTTTTTTCTAAATCGAACTTTTTTTGAAGAAAATCAAAATTTGAATTTTTGCAAATATTATATATATACTAATATGCTTCAATAGCCAATTTTCAGGCATCTAACAGGCAGGTTTACGTATTTAGAGATAACTCTTAGTTTCAACAAAGCTTCTCAAGTGAACATGTTTCAGCTTCAAATTAAGTATCGACGTAGCATTGTGTTCCTTTCAATTATTTTTTGTGAAATATTCGATTTGCTCGTTCCTTACAAATAAAATTTGATATTTTATTGTAAACAAATTAGTTACAGCAAAAGACAAAATCTAAAATAAAATAAAATTTAACTAAAATCTTCATCAGTTTGCAGGAAGAATAAATCATGCAGTAGACTAGCACGTGCTAACCCACAAATATTTGCAACTTTTCGCAAACAACTTGCTTGCAATCTGGTTTCACTTATCTACTGCTTTATTACAACCAACTGTTTGCGGGAAATAATGCATCAATTAAAATGAAAGCATTGCAAATAAAAGTGCTAATTGCAAGCATAATTTTCTATGCAATTTTTCTATCATAAAAATTTCAATTTTGAAAGCGTCGCAAAATCGCTTAACAAACATCTCATGTAGTACAATTTAAAGTGATTTTTTCTGCACTTCTTTTCACCGCACAGTACGTTTTCTGCACAACGAAAGTGAAATTTGTGGCAGTCAGCATAAATATGCGCCAACAGACATGCGCATACATCACAAGTGTTTCGTGCATTTAAATACAAGTGTATTTGGAAAACAACGAATTTTTTGTGAACATAGTAGTTTAGTTGATTGCTATCGCATAACATTTGGCTTGTGTGTTTCAAATGATGATTTTTCTGATTTTTTCTAATTTTATTCGCCGCTAAAAAACACACATTCACACACCCAAATGACACGTTCACCGCGTGTGTTCAGCGAAAATCAGTTCCAAATCAGTCATTCACTGCGGCGCATTGCATTTAGGTCTGTGCGGGGCGAGTTCGTGTCTTAAGTCTTTCGTTTCATGGCACTGCGGCGTGTCGCATGCACACATGCGTACATATAATGTTTACTTAATATGCGTTTGTGTATTTGAATGCAATAACTTACCATTTTGTCTGATAATTCGTAGACTCAGCGAATGAATTCCAGAAGTTTGGCGTTTCGTGTGATTCGCTGCTTTGCGCTACACCAACAAAATATTTAAATGTATTTTTTTTTTCGATTTCGGTAAAACTCAAAAAAAAGAACGACTACGCGTTTATTTGTGCACGTATGTGTGTTTTGTGTGCGTAGATTTATGTGTTCGTTGCACAATTTAAAAACAACAACAAAATGCAGTCGTTGATTTAGTTATGCTGCAAGTTGCACTAAAAGTAAATCGAAATAAAAATATTTTTAAAACATTTAAACATTTTTTACATGAGGCGCAGCTTTAAATTTAACTTTTACTAGTTTTAATATAAAATTGCAGAAGATCGGTATAAATTAAAAAATTCGAAAAACGATTTTTTTTATAAAAAATTAAATTTATTATTCAAGGTTTTTA